AGGGAATGTATAAGGGCCATATTAGGAGTTCATTCAGGGGAACCTCTTTCAATACAACCTTAGGAGTACGAGTCTGCACCCCTTGAAGCGGAATTGCAAAGCCCCATACGCCCCTAAACCGGGTCCCGCGAGCCAACGGAAGGGGCTCCAAAGAACAAAGCCGACCACTTGCTGTCTCTTCGTAGGGAATGAGGGCATTAGGTAACCTACATCATCCTGTAAAATGTAGGGGGATGTACTCTAAACACCCTAAACCCTCAACCCTAAAATGAAGAGACATCATGCATCCAGACCCCTTGGAGGACTGGCAAGGCCATCTCGAACTGTTTTTGAGAGTGGCTGCATGGAATCCCGCATCATGGGTGGGGCAGAGCGAGGGAGGGTTGCACTAGAGCATCATGGCCCAAAGCTAAACACATCACTTCTTGAGCAACATGCGCGGTGGAAAAAGGCCGTGCTCAGGTTAGGATCTTTCAGCTTTCGACTTTGGCGACTGTTGTACTGCGGAATGCCACCACCCTTCCAAGTCTGCTCTGCAGCAATATCTCTTCAGCCCAAAACCCTAAACCCTAGACCCTAAACCCTAAACCCCAAAACCCTGGCTCAAATAAGGCCCCGGCTCCCTCAGCATCGTCTCCTGCTTCGACAGCTCAGAGTTTTAGGCTTTGGGGCTTGAGGGTTTAGGGTTTAGGGTTTGGGATTTAGGGTTTAGGGTTTAATGTTGAGGGCTTAGGGCTTGAAGAGGGTCTTACTTAGGGTTGGGGCTGGAATGGTTAGGGTTTAGGGTTTAGGGTTCTTAGCCCTCAGGGGGTTCCCCCTAAACCCTAAACCCTAAGCCCACTGAGTCCCAGGCAACATGCAGCTCTCCCAGTTTCTTTAGGGTTTAGGGTTTAGGGTTTAGGGTTTAGGGTTTAGGATTTAGGGTTTATGGTTTATGGTTTAGGGTTTATGGTTTAGGGTTTAGGGATTCTTGGCGTGGCGTGGTGACCATGGTCCCTCATGCTAGGCACAAAACTCTTCACCTTCAGCTTAGGGTTTAGGGTTTAGGGGTTAAGGTTTAGGGTTTATATATATATAATACATAGATAGATATTCAACCCTGAAATGCAAACCCTTAAATCCGAGCTGGGGTGGAGCTTCGCGTTGCTCCTGTTTTCACCCAAGACCCTGTACACTGGGGTGGGATTGTACCCTCTAGTGTGCACCTCTCAATCCTCAACCCGAAAACCCTATGAGGGTTCAGGGTTTCGGGGTCTACTTGGAGGCTCGTGGGTGCGTATAACCCCAATCATCACATACTTAGAGGACTTAGGGGGCCTAGGGGGCTTCGAAGGTGCAATTAGAATTGGGGGGGGTACATGCAAGTACCCTGAACCTCCAAGTAGGGTTTCGGGGCTTAGGGCTTAGGGGGAGCCCTAAAACCTGAACCCTAAACCCTGGCGGGCCTTGAGTTTTGAAAGCCCGGTGGCTTATCTGGTATCTTTATACCTGAGTATAGCCCCTAGATGCCCTAGTCAGAACCCCGAATATATGCCCCTATAACACAGAAGCCCTATTTAAAGAGACCACCAACCCATATAATTAAGGCTTAGCCCTAAACCCCTAAACCCCTAAACCCCTAAACCCCTAAATTACTAAACCCCTAAACCCCGAAACCCCGAAACCCCTAAACCCTAAACCCCCAAACCCCGAAACCCCGAAACCCCTAAACCCCTAAATCCCCTAAACCCCTAAACCCCTAAACCCCTAAATCCCTAAACCCCTAAACCCCTAAACCCCTAAACCCCTAAAACCCTAAACCCCTAAACCCCTAAACCCCTAAACCCCTAAAACCCTAAACCCCTAAACCCCTAAACCCCTAAACCCCTAAACCCCTGAACCCCTAAACCCCTAAACCCCTAAACCCCTAAACCCCTAAACCCCTAAACCCCTAAACCCCTAAACCCCTAAACCCCTAAACCCCTAAACCCCTAAACCCCTAAACCCCTAAACCCTAAACCCTAAACCCTAAACCCCTAAACCCACATGCAGCCCGAGGTGCATTGTTGCACCAGTTCGCCGCGCTCGCGTTCGAGCTCGCGCGAGACTTGCGAATTGCCGCCTGGATCTGGAGTTGCTTTGAAGTCATCGGATCTCGGTTTTTCGGGTCTTCGGGTCTTAGTTTCTGTTGGTCTTAGGGTCTTAGGGTTTTTTGGGTCTTAGGGTCTTAGGGTTTTAGGGTTTTTAGGGTCTTAGGGTTTTAGGGTTTTAGGGTTTTTAGGGTCTTGGGGTTTTGGGGGTTTTAGGGCTTCGGGAGAATGACTCGAGAAGACACACGTTTTCTTCATTTCCTCGCTGAGTGCCTGGTTTCGAGGAGCACGTTTGGGAGGGAATCAGGGTTTCGTAGGGTTTAGGGGTTTAGGGTTTAGGGTTAGCCCTAAACACTAAACCATAGACACCCCAAATTCTAGACTACTCACTCGGGCATGCACTGACAGCTCCGGCGCTTCCTTCCCACCAGCACAGCTTGGGATGTTCCCCCTTATACTACCAGTGCTTCACAGGGATTCTAGTACCCCCGATCCCCATTAAGGACTGTTAGAATAAGGTGTTCCCAAAACTGTAGATGTTGAAAGCCCTAAGGCCCTATAGGGTTCAGAAACCCCAAACTGTCGACCTGTACACTCACAACCCAATGATGCCTTCTACCAGAGTTGTTTCCCTTAGCCCTAAACGGTAAACCCTGATGCCTCTGAGAGCTTCGTGGGTCCCTAAACCCTAAACCCTAAACCCCAAACCCCAAACCCTAAACCCTAAACCCTAAACCCTAAACCCCAAACCCTTTACAGGGGGTTTGGGGCCCCAAAGAACCTAAAGGAGGGGCCCTCCGTTGGGCCCCCTACGGTGGATATGATTTGGGAGACTCAGCTCGAAAAAAGGGGGCCCTCCAGGGTACAACCTTCGTAGGGTTTAGGGTTTAGGGTTTAGGGTTTAGGGTTTAGGGTTTAGGGTTTAGGGTTTAGGGTTTAGGGTTTAGGGTTTAGGGTTTAGGGTTTAGGGTTTAGGGTTCGGGAGCCTACACCCTTACAAATGGGGATTAGGGCCTACCCTGGGTCCTAGATAAACACCACAAATCAGCACTCCTGAATGCCCACCAAACCCCCCCAAAAAGGCCACAGATCGAACCCTAAACCCTAAAACCTAAACCCTAAACCCCCGCCCTATAAGGGGGTTTCCGACTGTAAGGGGGGACCCCTTTTGGGGCCGGGGGGGGGGGATCCCAAAAAGGGGCTTCTGTTCTACCTGCGGTATAGAAGGGGTACCCTCCCCCTCCCCATTTTGGGAAATACCCATATCAAGCCTCAAAGCCCTCGAGGCGTGAAGGTTTTGGGGTGTCGGGGGGGTTGGATTTCGGGTTCAGGGTTTGCGGGTTTGGGACTCAGAGGGTTTAGGCCTCTAGTGCTTTCGGACAGATAGGGTTGAAGGCTAAACCCTAAACCCTAAACCCTACTTTATGTAAGGATAAAGGGCATAGGGCTTGGAAATCTGAAAGTCCAACGCCCCTTGAAGAGTGCTCTCGTCCGGCCTCGCCCTGGCACACATCGAAGATTTCGCCTCAAGGCTTCAGCCGAATTACACCCTAAACCCTAAACCCTAAACCCTAAACCCTAAACCCTAAACCCCGAACCCTACACCCTAAACCCTAAACCCTAAACCCCCCCACATAAAGTGTGGAGACCCTTGGGTTTACGGAAGGGAAGGGACTACCTTCAGGGACCCCGGTGTAGAGTTTAGGGTTTAGGGTTCAGGATGTAGGGTTTAGGGTACAAGCTCTTTGGGGGAAGTGGGCTTTGGGTTCCAAGCATGGACGGGCGGCGAACGGCTTCGGGTTTAGGGCCGAAAGGGGGTGAGGGCCAGCCAAAATTGGAAGGGCCAAACTCCAGGGTTTAGGGTTTAGGGTTTAGAAGGTCTAGAGTCTGGCGCGGGTCGGAACGCCCTACCTACCCCCAAGCCCTAAACCCTAAACCCTAAACCCTAAACCCTAAACCCTAAACCCTAAACCCTAAACCCTAAACCCTAAACCCTGACTTCAACAGCCCAAAGCGGCAGTAGTCCGCCAGACATACTCCATTCGGAGGCTCCTGCCAGGGTTTGGGGTTTAGGGTTAGGGTGTAGAGTTTAGAGCTTAAGGTTTAGGGTTCAGGGTTTGGGGTAATTATCGGGTTTCGGGTTTACAGCTTTAGGGTTTTAGGTTTTTGTTTTGGCTGTGAGGCTTGTAGGGCTGTAGGGTTTTAGGTTCTGGGGCCCTTGGTATGGCCCCTTACCCTTGTTCATAGGCATCCGAAGTATGGGCCCTTGTTATGTATAGTGTCTATAAGTCATGGTCATGTAACTGCTAGTTGCTTAAGAACCCCTCCCCCCCCCCCCCCCCCCCCACACCCTAAACCCTAAACCCTAAACCCCATAAACCCATAAACTCATAAACCATAAACCCTAAACCCTAAACCCTAAACCCTAAACCCTAAACCCTAAACCCTAAACCCTAATCAACAAACCCTAATCAACAAACATCCGTATATTACCTTTCTCAATTCGTAGGTAACAAGGGACCCGAATCAACGGGCCCAGGGGGCCCATAACTTGGGACCCTAGATACAAGGGGTTTGGAGTTTTAGAGTTTTTGGATTTCAGGGTTTTAGGGTTCTAGGGTTTTAGGGTTCTAGGTTGCTAGGGGTTTAGGGTTCTAGGGTTCTAGGGTTTTAGGATTTCAGGGTTGTAGGGCAGAGGGCTTTCGGGGTTTAGGGTTGTAGGGTTTTAGGGCTTTTAGGGTTTTAGGGATCTAGGGTTTCGGGCTTGGGGTTGCTTTGGGTTTTTTACGGTGGTTAGGGCTTCGGGGTTTAGGGTTTTGGGGTGTAGGCTTTAGGATTGGGATGTAGCGTTTAGAGACGCTCAGGCGCCTCCTTTCAGTATCAACTACCCAAATATGTAGTTGTGATTTATACTACTTCTATTGCGATGTTTCAAAGCCGAAGCTCCAATTCCTACACTCTGAATCACCCTAAACCCGAAACCCTAAACCCTAAACCTAAACCCTAAATCTAAAGCCTAAACCCCAAGTGCATTCGCACCTGGTCCGGGTGCTTTCGCTCCAGGTGGAGGTCTAAGTAGTGCTCGCTCTTGAAGACCTGTGTCAGGGTGCAGGGCGAATGGGTGAGGACTGTCTCAGAAACTCGTAGGATTACAGGCATCTTAGATCTTACACTAAACCCGAAACCCTAAACCCCAAACCCTACATCAGTAGCCTTTGAGGGCGCATTTAACCCCCCGTGGTCATCTGATAAGACTTAAGAGGGAGGAGAAGTCACGCTGCTAAGGGATTCCCGTAAGCTCCAGAAGCCCCTACTTGGAGGTTCATGGTACATAGTGACAAATTCTTGCTGTACTTATAACCCAACTATAGCCTAGGTAACTAGATTTAGGGGCCTTATAATTGGGTTATACTTCATGAACCTCCAAGTAGGGCTATATATGGGGTTACCTATATATATATATATATAATATGTGGTTTAGGTTTGGAGTTTTGGGTTTTAGGGTACCTTGTAAACCCCGATATATGGCCTGCAAAGGGATTTAAACTTTCACAGCGGGATCTAAGGTGGCTTGTTTCCCTCAGTGCCTGCTCAGAACCAGCAGGTAGGGCTTTATTTATGTGCCCTAGTACGCTAAGCCCTGAACCCGAAACCCTACAAGGAGGGGCCCCCAAGACATAAGCAGAGTCATTATGAGTACCCTGAACTGGGATAAGGCTCCTAACTTAGGCTATAAGTCCGAAACCCTAAACCCTAAACCCTAAACCCTAAACCCTAAACCCTACAGCCAGGGGGCACCTCCTTGTAGGGATCTATTATATCAGAGTTCGCGAACCCTAGGGGCCCCCCGAACGGCTTGGGATTCAGGGCCTTGGAGGATGAACCACTGACCCCTAAACCCTAAACCCTAAACCCTAAACCCTAAACCCTAAACCCTAAACCCTAAACCCTAAACCCCCATAGGCCGTAGGCACTGTCGGGGTTCGTGGTGGAGGGCATCTGGAAGCTCTAAAGGGCTAGTGAAAGGTTTAGGGGGATATCAGGTTTAGGGTTTAGGGCTTGGGGTTTGGGGCTTGGGTCTTTTTGGGGTTTAGGGTTTGGGTTTGGGGCCTGGCGCACTTGGGGCCTTTGTGGGTTCTTTGCTCCTCTTTCGGACGAGATGCTTACCTAGGAGGCCCGGTAGCCTAGGATTAAAAAGAGCAGCCTTTTTGTTCTCACGTAAATGGTTTATAAGAGAACCTAAACGCCCCAAAAAAGAGAACGAGGGTACTACTGGGCATCCTAGTTACAGGAGCGCATGGGGTCCTGGTGCTACCCCCCCCCCACCGGAACAACCCCAACTATGGCGCAACGCAGTAAAAGCGGCTGGACCGTGCTTTGGGATAGGGGGCAGCTCAGTTCGTGGTGGGGCAGTATGCGGCACATCTCTTTCGGATTCGTTGTTTGCACCGCCCCTAAACCCTAAACCCTAAACCCTAAACCCTAAACCCTGAACCCTACACCCCGCCTTCTGGCAGTAGCCACAGGTCCACATGCCCGTTGCGCTGCGCTTGCGGTTCTTGTGCCTCTCCTGGCCAGACTGGAGACTCGAAGACTGAAGGGCACTAGGGTTTAGGGTTTAGGGTTTAGGGTTTAGGGCTTAGGGTTAGGGATTAGGGTTGCTTGGGGTTCTGCGGTTCTTCAGGGACCCTGAACCCTGAATCCTAAAGCTTATGGCTCACATACCTTAATAGGAATTAACAGGCACCCTAAACCCTAAACCCTAAACCCTAAACCCTAAACCCTAAACCCTAAACCCTAGACCCTAAACCCTAAACCCTAAACCCTAAACCCTAAACCCGAACCCTAAACCCCAAATTTTAGGCTTCATTTTACCCGCGAAGGTGGGGCAGGGGACAGCCGTTTTGTGAGACTGAACCATGCTGCACTGGAGCCTCACAACACGGCGGCAAGCGCTCAGTCTTTATGAAAGACCATACATATAAACCCTAGAAGGGTTTATATTTCTGGTTCATATACCCTAATTGGACTTACAGTAGCATAGGGTATATGACCCCAACTTTTAGGGTTCATTTCGCCCCCGAGGTATGAAAAACAACCCACCATAAAAGCCGTGGAAGCCCTAAACCCAACAGCGCTCGCGGCCCGCGAGCCCACGCAGTGACTTGCATGGAGATGTTCGGGTTTAGGGTTTAGGGTTTAGGGTTTAGGGTTTAGGGTATTAGGGCTTAGGGCCAGAGGCAAGCCGCGGGGTCTCCAACTTCGGCGCTGCAGCGCAACTGCGGATGGTTCAAACGCAGTTCTTGGAGGTTCATGGAACTTATTAGCCACTTATAACTGTCACTACTTAGAACTGTACTTCTGACCATCTTAGGGCATACAAGTGGGTTATAAGTACCATTATATAATTGGTTCCTAAGCACCATGAACCTCCGAGTTGAACACCTTCGCAAAGAATCCCAGGTACCTGTATTTCGCCCACACGCGGCCGGGAAACTTGCTCTCCGCCACAGAGAGCTAAACCCTAAACCCTAAACCCTAAACCCTAAACCCTAAACCCTAAACCCTAAACCATATTCAGGGGATCTTCAAATCGCTCATTGACCATGCGACTCAGCTCTAGGTCCCCCGAGTCCATCGCCGAAGTCCAAGCTTGTCGGCTGACACAGGCGCCGGCTTGCAACATCCTTAGCTGTCCAGCATCCTAGGGGAACTAAAGGTTATAACCTTTGGGGGTATAGAGGGAATATAAGAACCCAAAAAGGCTAACAAGGTTACCTACTCTACTACTAAGCATCAGTCGCACGACATCGATGTGACCACCGGCACATGCCCCCTCCACAGCGCAAAGCATCTCTTCAGCCGACACACCCGTTTCAAGCAGCTGGCCCGCCACCTGGACATCACCTTCTACAGCTGCATAGGAAACCCTAAACCCGAAACCCGAAACCCTAAACCCTAAACCCTAAACCCTAAACCCTAAACCCTAACGTCACCTTCCACAGCTGCATAGGAAACAAGCTCCCGGGCAGCGTCGACGGGACTCGCGGGACGCGGAGCAACTCCACCTCCGCCGGTGCGTTTTGCCTAGGTTGCCCAGTAACCTAGGTTGAAAAAAGGGTGCCCTTTTTTTGCTTAAAGGGGTTGATAAGGGAACCAAAAGCACCTAGGTTGAAAAAGGGTGCCCTTTTTTGCTTAAAGGGGTTGATAAGGGAACCAAAAGCACCTAAATAGGGAATAAGGCTACTACTGGGCATCCTAGATGCGGTGCGTTGAACCTGCTGTCGTTGTCCCAGGGCTTACCGTCGTGCTTGAGCTGTTGAAAGCAGACCTTGGCTGGGCCCATGTACCAAAATATTGAATACCGGTGCCTTAGAGTACTTCCTATAGAGGCGCCTTGGGGCCCAAGTATATAATAATGAGGTTGGGGGGGACCCTTAGCGCTCTTGGAAAAATATTCCTAAGTATGATCCTCTTGAACCCAATAAGAGAAATGCAAGATATCCCAAGACCCTACCTAGACACGGGAAAGCCAAGCCTCGATCGTAAGAGAGCCTTCAAGGCATTCACGTCGTCAAGCCCTAGCAGCTCTTTCGTAGTCAGGGTCAGGAGAACATCCCCAGACAAGGCGTTCCGGATCTGGAGCATTGCGTATACTCAGAGCAAGGACGGGCAAGGGCAACTTGACTTGCCAAGGGGATTGCATCCACATGCTGTAGGGTTTAGGGTTTAGGGTTTAGGGTTTAGGGTTTAGGGTTTAGGGTTTAGGGTTTAGGGTTTAGGGTTTAGGGTTTAGGGTTTGGAGTTGCGCCTGAGCCTTACATGGAGCCGATAATTTGCGCTGGACAGCAAGGCATTGGCTTACTTTTGAAGGCGAGTGGGGCCCACGAAAGCACTGGAGGCGTCATGCAGCAGTCAGGCCACCTTCTTGCATCGAAGAACCTGAAACCTTTAGGGTTTAGGGTTTAGGGTTTAGGGTTTAGGCCCTAATCCCCCTCCGGACCCAGCATTCTGCCCGTGAGTCCTGAGCCAACCGGCTAAGGGGTTGAAGGGCTTATGGCACGCAGGCCTTAGAAGGTTTCGGGCCCTAGTGGCCCTACACCCTCTGAAGAAACATTCCCAAATAAGATCCGTTGAAAAAGAAACCCAAGGAAGGTTTACATGTAAATTCTCCCAAAGTCCTACCTGGACAACCCCAACATCTAGAGGTTGTACCTAAGGGCCATATTAAGAGTATACGAGGGGGAACCTTTAGGGGTACAACCTTAGGGGTACGAGTCTTAATCAATTGACAACAGCCCTTCATAGCAATCCCTCAATCCCAAACCCTTAACCCTTAACCCTTAACCCTTAACCCTAACCCTAAACCCTAAACCCTAAACCCTAAACCCTAAACCCTAAACCCTAAACCCTAAACGGCCCTTCAGAGCCATCCCTCAATCCTAAACCCCATGCTCCTGGTTGCCAAAGAGGTCCCGCGCCGGATCCCAGGGGCAACCGCTAGGCCAGCCGACTAAGCCTGGGTTTAGGGTTTAGGGTTTAGGGTTTAGGGTTTCGGGTTTAGGGTTTAGTGTTTAGGGTTTAGGGCTAACTCGTATGGCTTTTTGAACTACTGTCGGGTTTTCGGGTTGAGCCTGATGGAAGGCTCTTGTAGGAAGGGCTTCAGCGCTTCTGTTTTTGTTTTTGCTTGGTGAGGGCTGACGGTCTTATTCGGGCTGCGAGGTTGAGAGTGTTCGAGATCCCAACAGACCCCTCTCACATCAACTCCATCAAACATGATCGGGCTTCTGCCTTTTGCGAGTGTTCCTCAAACAGTGCCACATGCTCAAGGTGAGGAGGACTAGGTCGGGAGTGGTTGGGGGGACTCTACTCGGAGGTACCTCCTATCTCGCCCCACTATGCAATCGCTCAAAGTCACCACATACATCTTGCCTTCGCTTAAGGATTCAGGCTCCAGGAACGTACATCTTGCCTTCGCTTAAGGATTCAGGCTTAGGGTTTAGGGGAGGGGTGTTTTGGCTTTAGGGGAGAAAGAGAGGGAGGGGGGATACCATGGGGGGTGGCGAAATACTTGCAACCTTATCATGGGGAACCCGTAAAAGGGTGGCCTGACGCCATCAAGCGAACCACCTTTCCATCACCTGGGTACCCTAAACCCCAAACCCTGAACCCTAATTCAACCCCAAGCCAAAAAAAACCCAAAACGCTAGCCCCCTAGACCCTTCTCCCAACCCCCTGGGTGGAAGGAACCCCCGCCCCCCCCCCATTTCGCGAGGTCCCAAACTTCCAGGACTGCCTGCGCGCTCGGCAGGCTTTAAGACTTCTTTGTCCAACCTTGGCAGCTGAAGGGACTACTGGAGGCCTGTTATGGCGACTGCAGGGTTTAGGGTTTAGGGTTTAGGGTTTAGGGTTTAGGGTTTAGGGTTTAGGGTTCAGGGTTTAGGGTTTAGGGTTTAGGATTTATAGGATTTAGGGTTTAGGGTTTATAGGATTTAGCGTTTAGGGACCCTATAGGGGTGACATGAGGTAGACTTGGCGTGTGTGGGGGTGTATGTAGGTTACCGAAGACACCGAGCGGGACTTCCACCTCAATGAGTACCCCCGACGTGTAACGGGGTTTTAGGGTTTAGGGTTTAGGGTTCTTGTTGATCTGGAATCGCAGGGTTCAGGGTTAAGGGTTTCGGGTTCAGGGTTCAGGGTTTAGGGTTTGAGTGACACCTCCTCAGAAAGGTTCTTCTCTTCCTTTTCTCTAAGGGTCCATGTGCCTCACTAATATATACTTGGGCCCCAAGTCCCCTTGCAGGAAGTACTTTAAGGCCCAATGCACCCTTAGGGTTTCGCAAGAACTCCTCAGGTGACTTGCTTCGGGATCTGATTGCATAAACCCCTAATTCCCGATGCCGAACCCCCGAAAGTTCCGGAATTCTGCGGGCTTTTGCTTGGGATCTCCAACACCCCCTAAACCCTAAACCCTAAAGCCTAAACCCTAAAGCAAGGTTGCCCAGCAAGCGAGGAATAAAAAGGGCACCCTTGCTGGTTTTAAAGAGGCTCATAGGGTACCTGAACCTTAAAAACCAAGAAATAACGGACTACTCTGGGTCCTAGTAGCCCTAAACCCTAAACCCTAAACCCTAAACCCTAAACCCTAAACCCTAAACCCTAAACCCTAAACCCTAAACCCTAAACCCTAAACCCAAACCCTAAAACAAAAAAGAAGGCCATCTGGGCCACTTCCGGGCATATCAGGATTTGAGGGGCCACCTGTGGGGTTCAGGGTTCGGGGCTGCGATGGTTTCGCCGAGTTCAGGGCCAGGAGGGGTTTAGGGTTTAGGGTTTAGGGTTTGGGGTTTAGGGTTTAGGGTTTAGGGTTAGGGTTTAGGGTTTAGGGCTTACCCTCGATGGACATTTCCTTTGCTAGGTCACCACTAGAACAGTGCCAGAGCCATGGCTTCAGGCGCAAACGATGTCAGGGCCGAGGTCTCCGGATTACTTCCCAACGGATGGAGGGGGGGGGGGTTAGGGCTTTAATGAGGGTTTAGGGTTTAGGGCCAGGGCTTGGGGTTTAGAGTTGGTGGACAACAGCAGAACCCTGTACCTTTCAGCCCCAAAACGCTTTGCTGCATTTTCAGACCTGCCGAACAGCAAATCCTACGGTCGCCTGAGAAGCCCATAAGAAGGTTCAGAACTGATCACCTACAAAAATTCGGGTACGGGGCGTGGAACATGTCTGAGACCAGCGCTGCTTCCGAACGGCACGAGAAATGACTCGCGAGCCTGGGCACCAACGATTTAAAACCCGCTAAAGCCCACACTTTATAGGATTTAAGGATCCCTGTTTAGGGGGGCACTGCAGGTTAAAACAGCTTGAAAACTCTATACCGGTAGTCTAGAAAAAGTTCGTGCTCGTTACTAAAGGACCCTACACCCCAAACCCTACCCCAAACCCTACACGCCTAAAGTCCGGGCAGAAGGATACGGGGTTTGCCAAAATAGGGGGCCCAAAATATAGACCCTCAAATAGAAGGATTCCCTGTCAGTAAGGAACCCAATAAGGTACCCCGAATTTCGGAAACCCCCCCTATGGACCCTAAAAACAGGGGGGCAGGGTTTTTGACTCCCTCAGCCCTACCGAAAGCCACAAACCCCGAAGCCAAAACTGCTATATCTTAAAACATAAACCCTCCTCATGAATTTGCACAAAGATCGAAGTAGACAATGACCCAAGCCGTCAACACTGAACCCCGAAGCCCCTAAAGGGCTTCTACCCCAAAATCATGAAACCTCGACCATGTGACGGTCAACTTGAAAGCTCCACGCAGTCGATCTGTCTGCAGGTATTCAGCGTGTTGATCGGCGAGCGGCTGTCGCACGATGGGAGGTACAATAAACCCAAAACCCTAAACCCCAGACCCGAAATCCGAAAGCCGCCAAACCTAAAACCCTAAAACTCCAAAAGACCTAACCCCCTAAACCCTGAGACCGTAAACGGTCCAACACCTTGCGAACATAAATCCTACAAGTTAGAGCCCTCAACCATGAGAAAAACAAACAACGAAAGCCCTAAAGCCCAGCGCGAAACCAAAAAGCCCAAAACCCGAAAAGCTAAAAAGGCCTAGAATCTAAAACGCTGAATACCTAAACGCCCCTCAACCCTAAAACCCGAAAAACCCGAACGCCGTAAACAACCCAAACACACAATGTTCCCTAAGCCACAAACAACCCTAAAGCTGAAACCGCGCACAAGCCGAAACCAAAGGCCCTTCTCGCGGGCTCGCAGCAGGAGTGCCCAAGCTCCGTCCGAGGAATGACCTGCCATCCCCACGAGAGTGCAAACCCCCAATACCCAAACCTTGTGGAACCCTAAACCCCAAATCTTAAACCCTGAACCCCAAACCCTCACAAACCTAAACCTTTTTGGAACCCTAACCCTGCACCCTAAACCCTTTATTGAAACTTGGGCTTTTGGTAGGGTTTGGGGTGTTCCAGAGAGTATGGTTGAGGCGTATGCCCACGTCGGCAGCATAGGCTTGGTGTTCATAAAATGCATTGAGGCCGTTTAGGGTTTCGGGGTGTAGGGATTCGCGTTGAGGGGGAACGTTTTAGGGTTTTGAGTCAGGCTTGTTGGAGGGTCTTGAAGAGGAGGTTAGCACTGCAGTTGCAGGGTTTTAGGCTTTGTGTGCAATTTGATTTTAGGTTACGGCTTTGCTTTCGGGGCTTGGGGCTTCTAGTGCTTAGGCCTTGTTCAGGATCAAGGGCTTTCGGTGGCAGGATGTTTGACAGATGCCAGAAGCGGAGCCCTGAACCCTAAACCCCAAATTCCTAAAAGCCCCCCTTTGTATGCCTCTTTACTTCCAGCGAGGCCGAAGACCAAGGACGTAGCTGTCCAGGCCTCTGTCTGGGAGAGCTTCAGGCTCTTGGGGGCTCAGGGTTGAGTTAGGGTTTAGGGTTTAGGGTTTAGGGATTAGGGTTTAGGGTTTAAAATTTGGGGTTTAGGGTTTAGGGTTTAGGGCTTAAGGTGTAGCCTAGCAACCATCTTATACCTAGTTGCTGAGTAACCTGGGCCAAAAAAAGTTAACCTTTCAATTGTGGTAGGATGATGTATACCCCAAAGGTTACCGACTCAGCTACTAAGTATAATAAGGGTACCC